AGACACGATCTGCCCGATGCCTCCTGACAGGCAGCACGTCTGCTCCCGCTGCCCATCTGACTGCGCCCGATCCCCCTGTTCGTTTACATATACAGCAGCTGCACTTACAGGTTATGAGAGGTAGCAGTGCAGACAGTTACGCACGGGACACGCGGATAGACAAATCAGTATAACGGGAGGGAGAGAAAGAGAGAGTGGTAGTGGGAGATCGGTTCCCCCCACAATATATTTCTAACTAATGTGACCCCGTATTGTGTAGTATCACAATTGGCATGGGAAAACTCCCACAGGCTACGGATTGTTCCCGGGAGTGGGGATCGCTGTCCTGCGTGCTGGCTCATACATACAGGATGTGGCAGCTCCGGGCATTGCGCTGCCCTGGCGGCGTGCGTTCATGAGAACGCTACGGGCTAAAACTGTAGCGGAGGCAAACAAAAGCAGAGGCAGGGAAAACAACAGAATTAGTCTACCTTGCTCCTGTGCACTTAATAGTTTCTGATCGTTTGTATATGTGCTCATTATTATTTAGGCCAGCTGTTTTTATTATTTTTTATTCATTTGTTTGTTTCCATAAATGTATTTTTTTTACATAGTTAAAGAAATAACAAAAAAAATAAAACAACAATAACAAATATAAATAGCATATGTGAAGGACAGGATCTTATGGGCTGTTTTAAAAAAAAAAGATGCTTAGATTAAAGGACCTTTTCCAATTAGGACATTTAAGTGGCTTTTATAAACATGCCTTAGAAAAAAAAAACATTAGGCTACTGGTGTGCATCTTGAGACAAACCAATGGAACTGGCATAGGCTACAGTCAATCCAAAAATTATTCAGACACCATATAACTTTTTATATTTTTTTACTAGTGGGTGCAAGACAATATAGTTCATTTATGTAAGTGAGGATATAACAATAAAGTAAACTGAGACATTATACCCAACAATTTCTTATACAGTGAACTATACCAGTAAAATGTAACATTTGGGACCAAAATTTATTCAGACACTTTGACCTGACCATGTTTTGTTTTAGCTTTTTTTCTTTAATTGCTAATGCGACCTTTTTACACCACAGACTGAACAAAATTAAGCATTAATTGGTTGACCTAAATTGGTATTATCTACACTTAAATTTAACAGCTGACATCTATCCAACCTAATTCATTTGTGAGACAGTCTAACAGAAGGATGGCCAAAACAGTGAAATATCAACTGATTTCATAACTCTGAGTTCTTGTCATATTTTATTACCATTTTCTAAACTAATAAACTGTGATAATGTGCGAATAAATTTAGGTTTGACTGTATTTTAAGATATGCTAGTGCCAGTTGCTTGACAGCTCAAACATGCATTTTAGTCTAGGCTTAAGCCTTGTCTGTGAAACCGGTGGTAGGCCTATATGTCTGCAATTTAGGGCAAAGTAGCCTATAGGCTAATTATGATTGGACTGTGGATCGCGTCTTCCTGAAACGGGACACAACATCACAGAAGGGCTTTTTTTGTTCCTGGTCAGGGTTTGTGAGTTAGGACTAGATTCTTGCGCAATGTTTTAAACAGGAAGCCTTGTTTGCCTTCCCACTGTCTGTCCTCCTCAAAGGAAACATAAGAGATCTCGACCAAGTAATTCAGGCAGCGATTTGACTGATGGGAGCAAGAGAGAGAGAGGCACGCAAACACTTCCAAAAGCTGCAGTCGCTTTCCATGATGTCACCCACACCTGGACCTTATAGAGTTAATAAGGCCAGTTTGATTGATAGCTGACATTTCATTATGGAGGAGTCATACAGTGATTGTGTAAATCCAAACAGACACGCAGCACGGAGGACGAGCAGGAGGATGATGCTGGGAAACAGACAGCCAAGTGAAGCAGAGGGAAACTTGCTGCAGGACTCGGGAAACTCTAAACCCTCGCTGTCATTTTGATTTAAATTTCCAAGATTAAGATGAGAAACAATGAGTAAATACATATAGGATGCTATTATAAACTGTGCTGCAACCCTTTCATCTGCTGTACAGTTGTGTGTGAGCTGACCGATGCCAAGATCACAAGGATCCCCCCCCCCCCCCCTCAATTCTCCATCAAGAAGATACTTACAGTATGATTGCATGAAAACAAACATGGGGAAATTGTTTATACGATACATTCATGCAGAATCTAAAAATGAGTCTGAATTCTGTGTCGGTGGGCTACTCCAGGGAAGTTCAGCGTCTCTTTAATCTTATGATGGGTCTTGTTTCAGTGAATGCTCTCAAACAAGTTACAAATCCTCACTGTGGTTGGAGCAGTAAAAGAAGAAAGACTGACTCAATAATTTCCTGATTGAGTGGGTCCATTGCACATTAAAACAAAGCATCAACATATTCAACAAAAATATATTATAATCCTATCTCTGTTTTTTTAATTGTTGACGCTTTGTTTTAATGCCCAATATATATATATATATATATATATATATATATATATATATATATATATATATATATATATATATATATATGTTTTATATATTATACCGATCAAAAGTTTGGAAACATTATTATTTTTAATGTTTTTGAATAGAAGAAAATACAGAAGAAACAGTAATATTGTGAAATATTATTACAATTTAAAATAATGGTTTTCTATTTGAATATACTTTAAAATATAATTCATTTCTGTGATGCAGAACTGAATTTTCATCAGCCATTACTCCAGTCTTCAGTGTCACATGGTCCTTCAGAAATCATTTTAATATGCTGATTTGATACTCGGTTATTATCAATGTTGGTAACATTTGTCCTGCTTAAAGCTACAATATGTAATTTCTTTCGCCGCTAGGGGTCGCTAACCTCTTACAATAACAAAGGCGTGGGTTTGTGACGCATAAGCGGAATTATGGAACTTGTCGCCATGCCGATAGATCTAATAATGTTTATGGATGAGTGAAAACATTGATGTTTGTAACATATAGTATGGGCGCGATTGCTAACTATAGACAGCTATCAGCACCACACACGAGTCCCGCGGATATAAAGGAATAATGACATTTCATTCTACCGAACTATCCGCGAGTGCTGAATTACTCACACAGGTCAGTTTATTAGACGAATGAAACTTGTGAGGTAACGCAGCGCTGTTTCACTTGGTCTAACGTTACACTATCATACTAAACAGCATTTGAGTGAGTTGAAATATAATGTTATTCTATGTGTTAGTTAGCTTGTTGGCTGTATGAGACTAGCAGTAAGCTATCAACATTAGAATAACATACTGATCATATTCTAACATTTCATCATGTTGAGCTATATAACATTGATTTGTTTTATGTACATTTGCTCACCTGTCTAATAAAGTACATGCAAGAGCGGCGTCTCTGTCAAGTCGAAGTTCGCGGACCTGGAGCTCTCACGCCGATATTGATCCTCGTCTTATTTCTCTTTTTGTCCCAAAGTCTGCTTGCCATGGTCCATAATGTTTGAACGAAACAACAACAGCATAAGTGCCGCTAGACATAACGCAGTTGTCCACGTCTGTCGCCATGGTTACTATGTAGCCAGGGATAATGCGGATATTACGTCATTGACAGACAACAATGAACCGGGACGAGCCATTATTTAAAATTGGAATTTCTCTGAAATTAAAAATCTTTGGGAACTTTTGGGATATTGTAAGTACACAACTGCAGGAAATATATCACAAAAGTGATTTTTTGATAATTTATTACAAAAATCTTTCTATATTGTAGGCTACATTTAATATTTTTGGAACATGTGATACTTTTTTTTCAGGATTCTTTGATGAATACAATTTTAGGACAGAATTTATTCCTAATAGAAATATTTTCTAACAATATAAATCTTTATTACTTTTTATTAAAGTAACATACTTGCTGTAACAAAAATGTCTAAAAAAATAAAGAAGACGATTAATGAACGCAAATTTTTGAACGGTAGTGTATATTGTTACAAAATATTTCTATTTTAAATAAATGTTCTTTTTAAACTTTTTATTCATCAAAGAATCCTAAAAAATTTATTACAGCTTATAAAAAAAAATATTAAGCTGCTTAACTGTTTCCTTCATTGGTAATAAATCATCATATTAGAATGATTTCTGAAGGATCATGTGACACTGAAGACTGGAGTAATGGCTGATGAATATTCAGCATTGCATCACAGAAATAAATTATTTTTTTTGTATAAATAAAATATATTTTAAAGTATATTCAAATAGAAAACTATTATTTTAAATTGCAATATAATATTTGACAATATTACTGTTTTTAATCAAATAAATGCAGGCTTGAGGGGCATAAGAGACTTCTTTCAAAAACACTAAAAATAGTAATGTTTCCAAACGTTTGACTGTATTAGAAGTGATATATATATTAATGATTTAATTAACTTTTGTGTTAGAAATACAAATATTTTAAGGCATCAACTTCTTCCAATAGGTACTAAAGATAGGCCTATACTTTATTATCCTTTGTCTGTCATACAATTACAAAATGTTGCTGTGTATAAATTTTTTTTTTTTACAGTCTATGGTATAAATACACAAATGTGTTTGTTACCCAGGGTTAGGGTTAGTTTGGTAATTTTTTTGGACAATTATTGATGAGTTGAGTAATTATTGAGTTGGCTTTTCAAAACAACACTGAAACTAGGCTACATTCACTAAGTAGATTGTTTGCTAAAAATAAATGAGACCATACAAATAAATTAATCAAATCAACTAAAAAAAATAGTTTTTTGAATATATTAATTTGGAAAATAGATTTGTGAGCTTTATAATTGTTATTATCAGTATTAATAATAAATAATAATAATTATATTTGTTTTTGCTTGATCAAAATATTTAAAAGGGCCATAAAAGTACCAGGTTTTCTATTTTTATTTATATAGGCTACCATTATGAAATCAAGCATTAGAATCAGCACATGGTCTCATCTGTCCGTCATGACGTAAGAAGGGCGGGACTAGAGGATCTCCACCAATCAGCGAGCGTTTTATTTGTCAGATTGGTTTCCGGTGTAATCAAGATGGCGCTTCGGGAGCTGAGCTCGCTCGAGAGATTTCTAGGATTAAAAAAGCCAAATAAATACAGCACGCAGGGAGGCAAAAAGGTGAATCAAGCGATGAACGTGATATACTTAAGTTAAGAGCCTGTATTATATTTAAAGATAAGTTTGTGTTGGGTAATAATTATTAATAATTTGACATGGATCGATTGAATGAATGACTGGTGTAAATCAGAGGGAATATTACTAACGTTATACGATTTTAGTATAGTTACCATTTTCCATTTATCATGATTTAGCAGCATTTTGACATGAATATTTCATTGATTTCATAAGTTCATAAATAAATGTTAATGTTAGTAGCCCAACTGACAGATCTGTGTTGTTGTGTGACATCTGGAGCACCAAAGACAGACATACAAAATATTACTAATAACTTAACTTATGTATTTTAGATAACAATGTTAGAGAGTCGTTGGCACATAAAATATATTGGATGATTTACAAATTTACAAACAAAAAAAACACTCTAGGCTTCAAAAAGACCACATGGCCATTTTAGCTAACTTGTATTGCAGCATGTGGATCCCCAATAGTAACAATTATAAATACTTTAGACAATTTTAACAAAAGTCATGAGCACTTTTAGACCCACCAGGTGTATTTGAGGCTCATACATTTGCTATGTATTTCCAAAGAGAAAAGGTTCAGAGGTATCCCAGAAATTGTATTATATTGTCCCCAAACATTTGATTTGAACTTTACTACAGACACTGAACACTATTATTTGCATTCATACCATTAATAATGATGCTCATAATAATAACAATACAAACATATTGCAATACAAAACATAGTCCCATTTAAAAAAAAAATAATGGAGATAAGTTAAACAAAAAATACCTGGAATGCTGTCAGCATCAAAAGTATGTTCTAAAATAAAGATTTTTTAACATATGTCATATTGTTTCTTTGTAAGATTAGTTTATTTATTTTTATGTAAATCTGCAAACATGGCTGCAACACTTGACAGGTTGAATATTGGGATTGATAAATGTGTGTTCGGTCAACACTGTAAATGTCATATAAAGTAATGACTCTTCATCAGCCTCAAAACCATGTGCAAACATCATTATTAGTTCATAAGCATGAATTTTATGAAACTCAGCAAAACCCTTGATTTGGCAAATTTCTTGACAGCTGAAGTTACAGTTTTTCTCAGTCGCTTTGGTACATTTCTCAGATCAGAATTGAAATTCTCAAAACTACCTGTTCAATCTTCACATCATTGTGTCACTTGTGCACATCAAAAAAAGCAGTTTCTCATTTCTTTGAACAAGTTGCAAATGCTTTGGTACATCCATGCAAATGATTATGTAAATTCTCTGCTGTTTCCTACATTATCAATTGCTTATGTCATGTTGATCAAAATGTATTATAATGGGTCTATGTTGAATTGTCTCACCCCCCACAACATTATTCATAGCATTAGTTCATAGCATAAGTCCTTACATGCAAAATGGTTGAACAAGTTGTCATAATCAAGCATATTTATATACATTTTCATTAGACTTTTCTTCTAAATCTGTCCTGTTCACATTTCTACTTTTTTTTTCTTTTTTTTTATCTTTGTTCTTTGAAGTTCTGTCTTTTCCTTTCTGTATCGCAATGACATGGTTTGTCAACAAATTACAGTACAAACAGTAAAAGCGTAAATGTGAATTTTGTCCAGTCTCTTGCAATCAAACTCCCACATACACTAAGGTGTGTAACCTACAATTTACAATAATTGTCATCAAAACTTTAGTCAAGTCAAGTCATCTTCATTTATATAGCGCTTTTAACAATGGAGATTGTTTCAAAGCAGCTTTACAGAGATAAACATACAATTTACGGTAACAGAGATTGTTTTGGCTTTATAGCGATTTTTGAATAATGTTATTTCCAGCTAAAGTTAGTTTTGATTGATTCACTTCCAGCAAAATTATCATTTGTTATTACATTAGGGGCCACTAAGACGACGCCGTTCTCTCTAAACAGACTTTAAACGCGAACCTGTGACCTGATGGCGTTCACATGCGCAACTTTAGCCATAGTTTACATCATAACATCCCTCCAGAGTACACTGTTATATTGACAACATGACTAAGCACTTTGACTGTCTTATCCGTACACAAGGACTTGTCATTCTGATGGCACTGCCATGTTCATTGACACAGATATTTACTTTTGAGAGATGAACTAAGGATTTTGAGTAAGAGACTGGCTTTTGCAGGTAATTGTTTTGAGAAATGCACTTACTGTTTTACAAATGTTGAGGATGATTCGAGAAATGTACCAAAGCGACTGAGAAAAACTGTAACAGCTAGCCTAGTTAAAAAAGTTTATGTATTATATTTTAAAATGTAATTATGTAGCCTATTAAATTCCATATTGTTTTTTTCTCCTGTTTTTTCTGTTCCTCTTATTTGATGAATAGATCCATGCTTGTTGATTGCTTTCATCTGGATAGTAGGTTTTTAATATTTATTCATTTATGTGTCCAATTGTAGGTCCCTGTTCTCCAAAACAACAACGGACCGGCATTGATTGGTCTGGTCACTATAGCATCCCATCTGGTCCATGAGGCCAAGAGAGCTGAGCTGCTAGGAGACAGCGCTGAACAGAGAGCCGTGGTCCAGCAATGGATCGAACACAGAATAACACGACTAGACAACTGTTCTAAAGAAGAGGTCAAAGTTATATTGAAGGTAAGATGATGATGACTAAGGGTTAGGCTAAATGGTTCCTGTATTTATAATTTTAAAAAAGGGCCTGGTACACATTTTTTGCTGCACAGTGTTTTTTTGTTGTTGTTTTTTTGTCTAACAATGCTTCAGACAATATAAAGATTTAATGTGAAAGAACTGTGAGAGATATATTTTAAATAATATTTACACTTAAATGTTATTCCGCTAAATTTCCACACATACAAAGTGAGGAAAAACTTAAAGGAGTCATAATGTAGTATTAACTTTGATACCCACGCTCTATTATAGTCATTTCATGCCCTTCTAAAAAAGAAAAATTGGAAAAAAATAAACAGAGAGCTCGTTTGACCCTTATTTCTGAATGCATTATTGTCTCGCGAGATCTGATGCGAGGTTTTGGCTGTCGTGGACGGTCATTTTAATAATGCAAATGAGGGGCGCGTTGATTGGTGGCAGGAAGGAGGGGGCTTGACACCGCAGGTAACTTCAGCATATCATTCCAAAAAGAGATCATGGAGCAAGTTGTTAATGAACCCGACCTGGCCGCGACCTACGGGATTCAACCGTATATGTTTGAGCCAGACTCTGAACCAGAGCTGGAAACGGAAGAGGAACAACAGTCAATTGAAGGACGTCTACATCAACATGTCTCTGAATGGTAAAGACAATTTTTTTGACTGAGACATACATTAACATCAGTAACGAGCTAAAACGTTTTTTTGCTATTTTCTCCCACATAAGTTTAGCTTTAATTTAATGTAGATTACATTAACGGAGATGTAGTCTACTTTATTTTCAGCTTACAGTGGTTATAGAGATTAACATTTGCTATAATGTGTTGTTTTTGCCTTTTTTGACGTTGTGGTTTTTTAGATATTTAATAATTTTTATCTGCAGACATGTAACGTTATGTTTTTCTTTATGTTTATTAATTCTTGACTGTTTTTTAAATGTATCTATCCTTATCTATTATATAAAAAAATCAATACAATGATATGTTGTCATTGTTATATTGTATACGATTATATTAAATAATAGCTGTATCATTTTCTAGTCTGTTTAAAGTGGAAAGATGTGGCTAGCATTCGTAGAGTCCATTCCCCGTGTTTACATCACATACATTAACCGCATTAGTAGTAGCTGCTATTTACACAAAATATAGTAATAAAAAAACAGTCTTACCGTTTCAAATTCAGGCAAGTCCCTGATTGTTGGAATGGCACCTTTTTACAAACGTAGCTTCGATGCCAACTTCGCCTGATATTGCCCCAAATTTGTAAAAGATTATTTTGTGAAATGTTTAGCGCAGACACCTAACGTTGAGCAAGTTGAGATAGTTGTTGGAACAGCGTCATTGAAAATAAATTTCATCCACTTGTCCCTTGTAGTTTGGTCAGTTTTGGGTAAAGAAAAAACATTAGAATGTGGATTATGACAGTCAACCACAGAGCAACTCACGTGTGCACTACGTTTCTGCATCTTTCTTGACTGAATATGATGGGGAGAGGGGCAGGGCGGGCCTCCTCTGCGGTGTCCATATATGGTATATCCGGCCCCGTCTTGACGTCAAGTCGGGGGAGAAATTGAAATCTCGTATTTGAGTGCGCGTGCACGTTGGCTAGTTTAAGAACCCTGGGGTAAACAAACGCTTCACTTTTGAATATCGGCATCCCGGCCAATGTATAATCGTTAGTCAATCATAACATACATTGATTCTCATGGAAAAGTGAAAATTGCACATTATGACTCCTTTAATATAAGTAACAAATGCAATATTAAATGCAGTGACAAATGAAACAACCAACATTATTAGAATAGAAATCTGAGCATACTCGAAGTATGAAAACTCTTTTTATGAAAAACAAACAGACAAAAGTTCAGAGAAGAATTGGTTGTATCTCTCGTTTTTGAATGTGCCTCTGGTGTGTGTGTGTGTGATTCTGAACTCTCATGGTGTTAACGTGAGTGAGTAAACACTGTGAGTAAACAGTGTTTAATAGTTTACATGTTTTTAACAGTGAATTGTTCAGATCTGTTTTCTCTATATCAAATAAGTGTTAGAATTTCACAAAATGTAAATCATTTAATTTTACAGTTTGATGCATTTTGCTGCATTTGGCTTAATGTATATACACTCACCGGCCACTTTATTAGGTACACCTGTCCAACTGCTCGTTAACACTTAATTTCTAAGCAGCCAATCACATGGCGGCAACTCAGTGCATTTAGGCATGTAGACATGGTCAAGACAATCTCCTGCAGTTCAAACCGAGCATCAGTATGGGGAAGAAAGGTGATTTGAGTGACTTTGAACGTGGCATGATTGTTGGTGCCAGAAGGGCTGGTCTGAGTATTTCAGAAACTGCTAATCTACTGGGATTTTCACGCACAACTATCTCTAGGGTTTACAGAGAATGGTCCGAAAAAGAAAAAACATCCAGTGAGCGGCAGTTCTGTGGGCGGAAATGCCTTGTTGATGCCAGAGGTCAGAGGAGAATGGCCAGACTGGTTCGAGCTGATAGAAGGGCAACAGTGACTGAAATAACCACTCGTTACAACCGAGGTATGCAGCAAAGCATTTGTGAAGCCACAACACGCACAACCTTGAGGCGGATGGGCTACAACAGCAGAAGACTCCACCGGGTACCACTCATCTCCACGACAAATAGGAAAAAGAGGCTACAATTTGCAAGAGCTCACCAAAATTGAACAGTTGAAGACTGGAAAAATGTTGCCTGGTCTGATGAGTCTCGATTTCTGTTGAGACATTCAGATGTTAGAGTCAGAATTTGGCGTAAACAGAATGAGAACATGGAACCATCATGCCTTGTTACCACTGTGCAGGCTGGTGGTGGTGGTGTAATGGTGTGGGGGATGTTTTCCTGGCACACTTTAGGCCCCTTAGTGCCAATTGGGCATCGTTTAAATGCCACGGCCTACCTGAGCATTGTTTCTGACCATGTCCATCCCTTTATGGCCACCATGTACCCATCCTCTGATGGCTACTTCCACCATGTCACAAAGCTCTAATCATTTCAAATTGGTTTCTTGAACATGACAATGAGTTCACTGTACTAAAATGGCCTCCACAGTCACCAGATCTCAACCCAATAGAGCATCTTTGGGATGTGGTGGAACGGGAGATTCGCATCATGGATGTGCAGCCGACAAATCTGCGGCAACTGTGTGATGCCATCATGTCAATATGGACCAAACTCCCTGAGGAATGCTTCCAGCACCTTGTTGAATCTATGCCACGAAGAATTGAGGCAGTTCTGAAGGCAAAAGGGGGTCCAACCCGTTACTAGCATGGGGTACCTAATAAAGTGGCCGGTGAGTGTAAATGTGCAGTAGAAAAAGAAATATTTGATTTCAGTATTACTATTGGGAAGTCACAGTGTTAAAATATAATTTAACGTATTAGCCTAACAATTTCCTAATTTGCGCTAATATTGAAATATTTAATATTTCCTTTATTTTAGTGAATTAGACCAAAACTGTGAGCCATGACTAATCTAAAAGTGAGAAATTAGGTCTTATTGCAAGTTGTCTTTTCCTTTATTTTTTTTGTCTGTATTGATTTGTATAAGAGGTGTCCAGAATCCAGCATAGATTGCCATTATTATACATTCACCCAGTCCATTTTGGAAGACTTGCATCTAAGGGTGCTTTCACGCTGGCAGTTAAAGGGTTAGTTCACCCAAAAATGAAAATTCTGTCAGTATTTACTCACCCTCATGTTGTTCCAACCCCGTAAGACCTTCGTTCATCTTCGGAACACGAATTAAGATATTTTTGATGAAATCTGAGAGCTGGATCACTCCTCCATACTAGTCCATAGGCTTCTTCAGGGATTGAACTTGCCGGCCTCGAAAAGTTATTAAAGACATCGTTAAAATAGTCCAAGTGACTACAGTGGCTCAATCTTAAGTTTATCAAGCGACGAGAATACTTTTTGTGCGCAAAAAAAACGACTTTATTTCAACTATTCATTTCCTTCTCTGTGGGCCTCGAGTCAGTTCACTAGTGTAATAGCGTAAGCTTCTGTTGTTGTACGTCACACGCATCACACACATGACCAGCGTCGGCCAATAGTGAGCCTACGTGTGACGTAGCTCTACGGAATCACACTACGTTAACTGACTAGAGGCCCAAAGAGAAGGAAATGAATAGTTGAAATAAAGTCGTTATTTTTGTTTGTTTTTGATCCAGAGTGATCCAGCTCTCAGATTTCATCAAAAATATCTTAATTCGTGTTCCGAAGATGAACGAAGGTCTTACGGGGTTGGAACAACATGAGGGTGAGTAATTACTGACAGAATTTTCATTTTTGGGTGAACTAACCCTTTAATGTGAAAGCAACTTGGACGTCAATAGTTCAACAAAACGCATGTAAGGGATGACATTGGTGATGATTTACCTTGGATACGAACCAGAGTGAGCATGCAGTGTAACCGCACATAGTGAGTGCAATCAGAACGGCAAATGAAGAGGGTTGGGAATCGTGAGAAATTTTCTCCAGTTCCACCTAACGATTGTGGTTCCGATTCCATTAAAATGGTTATACAAGTTAAGAAAATAGTAGTAAGGAAAAAATGCACAATACTCGACTCAAAAACCTCTTTTGTGTTTATTTCTTATACTTGTCAAATGAGTTTAACAGACTGGTAATGTCAACAAATTCAACATATTATTTAGTAATTTTTGCACAAATAGCCTAGTTATAGGAAAAATCAACATTTCTGCATTCTCTGGTAGAATTTGGGACTCTCATGGCTTATTGTATCTCCAGCAGTGGAGAATACCCTCTCAGACGTGTATAATATGCTTAAATGCACATCTAAGATCCAGACAGGTGAAACAGATTATATTTTTTTAAATCAGTTTGAATGATTGATTCATAAAGACTTCACTTGTTTCATTACTGGATGAATCAGCGTTTTTGAACGAGTCTCTTGAATGAATGATTCAATGACAAAATACATTTTTGAAAGCTGCAG